AGAGAAAAGAGACAAAGTTGGGAAAGCTTGCTCGCTCTCCCCAATTGCTCAACTCTCAAGTGATTGGACCATAATGAATGCACCAACGTCTCTTCGCAAAATAAAGAAAAAGCACCATGTTCACTGCGTAAAAAATGGTCTCAGTTCATGCATCTGTGGGCAGGTAGGAAATCTTGCCCTAATTTATTCACACCGCATGATGAGCGCAACAAACTCGCACGAGATTTACAGGAAAATACCGGTGGTGACTTAAGTTTCCCTGAAATTCTGTATAACCGGTCGTTTGCAGGTGCGGATCATCTACTCGAGTGGTGTGCGCCACTGTGCAAACACGTCACTGTGAACACAGTCCAACACGAAGCATAAACACGGCAGATTTAGGACAGCAATCCGGAGTCCATTCTTCAATTAAAACGACGTAATTTTGTTGAAAACACCCGCAGCTTTCTACACACGGTATGCGTCCGGATACTTCCACATTTTGAAACGGAATGGAGGAAGATGTACTTTTGAAGACGCTCGCTGCGTCATCCCGAACCAGCTGGACCGGATCAGCTGACAACGACGGGACTGAACCCGTTGAACCTCAACCCCACAACAACCAATTTGCGTTCTGTGTTAGTGTGGCTTTCCACCTCTAAGCACCGAACCACACACCACGAATCTTTCAGCTCTTTTTCGCATCGCCGTGTTGCACCAAACAGAACGAGATCGCCGAAGTCAACGCAGCGCTGTCGTAAGCCTTGGCTTGTGGTTCCGCACTCGTGGACCCTGTGACTCCCTCCGCTTTCCAAGCGCACACAACGATTACGAATGATACTTTCCGTATCCCGGGAACATCACAGGGGCATTTCTCCGGTCACGTCTTCGCTATATGTGCTCGCTAACCGAGGAGCTTCCCCATGGAGAATAGACGGGTAGGAGAGGGCATGACGTCAGCCGCGTAGCCTCCGCAAGCCATGCTCCCTTGACGCTTCGCCTCTTTCTCATTTTCCTCCTTACTCTCCTCACCTATCAGCCCAACATGACCACACTAGGGTGCCTCAATGACCTTCTGTTTAGAGTGATGCCACCCTTTGTAGTACCCGATGCCGACAGGACGCGCTCACGGGGAAAATACAAAAAAATCGACGAACACAAAATGTCGCCATAGCACAGTCAGCGCCACAGATGCGTGCAGGGACACGCTCTTTCACGCGCTTCTGAACAAAAAATAAATGAAAATGAAAAAATAATGAAAATGGCGAGATGTCTCCACCCTAAGCAAAGCGCACATGAAGGCACCCTAGACCACACGACGTGACCGTAGCTAGCCTCGTCTAGCCTTCGATCTGATAAAACCTGCCGGACGGAGCGCGCACAAGACTGCAAGGAATCCTCTTGCAATCAACCATCCATCTCGCACGTGACATGTCACGCGCACCAATCGCCAGAGAGATCTGCGGTCACGCAGCGCACAATATCGTTCAAACTTTTTATGACTAGGCTTCACCAATATTGCAACGTGCCCCCTCCTAGTACTTCTAACCTCCTTGAGCTCCCCCATTCCCGTCTAACCAAAACAATACCGGCACCATGTTAAACGTGCGTTGTTGCCGGATTTTCACAAACCAAACAAAAACACCTAAAGCAAACCGGCTCTAGCTTCGAGCGTGCATCGGCGTTGCGCCGTGGCCAAATTTTCTCTGCCAGCTCTAACCTAAATATGACCTACAGATGCAGCAATACTGGTATCAAGTTTTAATATGGTGGCCACCACGGAGCGCCGTAAATTTTGAGGAGGGTGCTTGGAGGGTGCATGGGAAGCGGCGGCACGGGCGGCACGGGCGTCACCTTCGCTTGCTGTTGAAGGGTTGAAGTCAAAACGAAACCAAATCGATGTCATGTGTTCAGATCGAGGGCACGATTTTTATATCCATTTTAACTGTTTACAACGAGTAACTAGAACCCATAATTTTATTTGGGGTGTGTAAGGAACAATTATCAAGACTCCTAAAATAAATACAAAAATGGGTGACATGAGGGAAGCCGCATTGCCATCGACCAAATCAATGGCAGCGAGCACGGTAAGTAAGCGCGAGCTTCGCCCCGTCCCGCGACATGGCGTAATTGCTTTTGGTGCGTATCTGTCTCCGAGACATGTTTCTTTCCGCGGCATTTGTCTCCACGGTCCTTTCTAAGTGTGTCCCCAAGCATTCCTCTTTTCGATGGCCGGCAATGTTGCGGTCGTCGCCGGGGGTGATGCGTGTTTTCGAGGTCGGCTACACGTTTATGCGTGAATGACCGAACCAAAGCACGTTTTTTTACAACCTCGCATGATTTTTGAACGAATTATCCGTTACCCAATGTGTAAATTTATAATAATTTGTGTAAATAGCGTGTTTTTCACCCCAAATGTTCACCAAATACACGGGACTTGCAAACAGTGCACGAAAAACGTGTTCAGTTGATTTTACCAAGTTCATCTTCAAGAATTTACAAATCGTATATTGTGTCTAATGTTTTTCAATTGTTATTTACTTATATCGGACAATTTGAAATAATATCGCCGTGTATGTCTTTTTAGCTAGGGTCTCGTGTTCTCAGGGGCCAAATCTATTTCGAATCGCGAATGGTTTTTCGAGGTTTATTTTTGAGTAATGCGATTTGCACGACGTAGTGCACCTAGACTTTAGAAGGCTTTACGCGCGACGCCAAACGTACTCCTATGAAACTAATTGTCAAAACTTATAGGTAAAGCTGTAGCGAGGCCCGTTTTTTAGAGATAAAAAGAGCCCGCTCATTGTATCCTCAATTTGGGAACTTGCCGGTGGTTTTCTTGGGAATTGGCGTGAAGGGTGCTAACAAAACTTGTAGTGCACATGTGCTGATATATTACAAAAACAAACAGCAGAGACCATCCGACTTGTTTTAAATATCAGATTTTCGAGTAAGTACTTGCAAAAGGTTCGGTGAAATACATTGTAGTGGGACACCACTATTTATTAATCCCACCTTCCCTGTACCGCTCATACATGGGGAGCGCAGAAGGGTCGACGGACGTGTTTTACCGGGGCCGCAGCTATCCCGTCAAAACATCAATGAAAAACGTTTGTCGCGCTTTCACTTTGATGTTTTGCCCATTAACCCGAGGTTGGTTCGAAAGGTGTTTATTTTTCTAGCCATGGTCGACAAAACTGGGCACTTCGTCCTTTCCCTGAAACCTTCCAACGTGTGTTTGCACACAGCACTAACACCGAGCTGTTCAGGGCAGAACTTAGAGCGGTACTGCATATCGATCTGTATCTTAAGTGAGCACAGGCGAAGCTCCTTTTTTTTTAAATAGTCCCACTTTGAGGGCACGGGGGGTGTTTGCTCTTCTGAGTTTTTGGGTGCTTTGGCGCTCAAGGACAGATCACCTGCACGTAGTGCAGGGCGGTAAGCCAGCCTGGCGTTATTTTGTGGAGGGTTTTCCTTATGTGACCTGCCTAAGAAAACAGTGCAGCCCAGTCTGAATTGCTTGGCAGACCTCTCATATCTGGAAAGACATACACTCATACAGAGGGGCTCCTTATTAGGGCAAGCCAGGGGGCTACGGTGCGACACCAGACAGTGGCACCCAGATCTGCATTTGGCAGTTTTATTTTTCTGGTCTTTTGCGTTAATTGGATTGGTGAACTCCAGACCATAGGCGCAGTTTCGGAGAACGTAGTAGCGATTTTACCATTTGGATCTTATCTGTCTTGTACACCCTCTTAAACATATTGTAAATAAATGTTGCTGAAAAAAAAAGCTTATTTGTAAAGTGACCGCTTCACACGCAGCTGACCCAGGATTGAATCCGGAAGGCGGCAGGCATATATCTTTTTTGTCAAACATTTGTCGATATTAAAGACTATTTTTTTTTTACAATTATAACAGTGAAGAACAAATGTCGACGAAATGCCTCTGAACTACCCGGCATGGGGCTCTCGTTGCGGAGGTGCAATGGGTGACAGCGGAGCTTCGCCCGCCTGCGGGGCGCCTCGAGACGATGTGTACGGGTAAGGCAAGTGGGTTCATATGTTTTAATGAGTCATCCGCGCACTGTCGCCGCGAAGCGGCATAAACGGTGTAGGGTGGATTAACACGCTCCCCAGTGGTACACGCGCCGTCCCCCGCTGCGCCTTTGAAAGGGGCGATCCAAATGGCATCAGCTTTCCACGTCGTGCGTATAGCCATTCCCGGTTGAGGTGCGCGACGTCGTGCGCATAGCGTAGTTAACACCCGGAACGCGCGAGTCGAAATATTCGGCCGTTTTCCGTGTAAACGTTTGATGGAGGTGAAACAGCGGTGTTTAGAAGGCTTATGTGGGAGAAAAAAAGTGCACGGACAGGGGCCGATGGGTTTCCCTAACATCCAGGGAACATAAACGCCGTGATCTGAATACTTAGAAAACATCCCGGTACCGGTAAAAGAACAAAACGTGTTAAGCCATGGTCTTCTGTTGAATGAAGTGTTTGCGGACATATCAGAGTGGGCCGTGTCCAAGTTAACACAAAATAAAGACGCCGTTAATTTTTTTGGGATTTTTTTTTTCATTGAGGCTTGGGTTTATATTTTTCAAACACGACTCCAATTCAGGGTTATTTGGTTTTCATCGGTTCAAACAAAAAAACAGCATTGGGGTTTAATTGTCAGTGATTATCGGTGTTTATCGAATGCACGAAATGCTAGTCAGAACACCTTGATATCATTACGCGATTTCAAAGTTTCCGCTTTGCTTTAGGTATATTTTATTTAAACCAACAAGCCGCAGACTCCAAAGCACTATCTATAATGAGGTTTTTGATGCAGTGGATGAACATAACCTTGCTGATGTTTTGTGGCGTAAAATGCGAATATAAATGATGTGTCAATAAAAACTAAATAATAACTTGTGCGCCAAAGAAATTTAAAGGTCCTGCAGTATATTAGTTCTAATCGATGCAAAGAGCCAGGTATTTTTCAGAATAAAAAAAAGCAGAAATAAAATGCCTTACCGTGGCTTAGGGCTGCTTCTGACGTTTGTTTCCTTGGGGTCACCCGTCAAATATGTTTTATATCGTTCCTTTAAATATTTCCCGACGTTCCTCATGGTTCCTATACCCCGATGAGTCAGTTCTCCATAACCGAGTATCCAGAACTTGCTGTTCCAATTGCGGTCAGTAGGAAACGATCTCAAAGGTGCCCGATCACCATGACGGAAAATACCAATTACGAGGTCCAAAGAGTGAGGCACAGACGTATCTTCCAAGGCGTGGGAGAAGAGGTAGGACGGTGACACCAAAAGAAGACAAATGCCTTGCATAACGGAATGAATCATGCTGCTTCGGTGATTCTGGAACAAATATAATTAAGCCGTCATGGTTTACACCAAAATAAGCGACTGCAAAGGAGCGTAAAACAAAAGCATAATTACAAAAATAAATTAATCAGATTTTGTTTATTTAAATCAGATGAATTTTATTCAAATAACTGTACGTAGGAAATTCGTATGTTTACCACAAGATGTATCTTTTAACATAGCAGCTCAGAACGTTGATCAATTCAACTGATTACTGATAACAATTCGAAAGAAAACAAATCACTGTAAGTGTACACTATAATTAGCAACTTTAATTGCTGCAGCCCCCACGAGATAGCACCCATCTTAATTTTGATTTTTCTAGTTAGTCGAAAAGTTTTACTTTATTTATTTTTGTGCTCTCACTTGATTTCAGTAACAAATCACTTTCCTAATTTATTATTTCTTTATTTTGAGCTCTCACTTTATTTCTGTAGTACGCTGAGCGCCTCACAACCCAAGTGGAAAGTAAAAGTCAAGATCAGCGCTTCGGTTAGTCCGAAAGAGCACTTCCTTTTGCTTGTGTTAAACCTGATGTAAATGTTTATTGCTTAATGAATATTTTATCTAAATACAAAACATACTGTAGTGGACCGCGTTCACGCTTGCGTGGGTGTGCGACGCGAAGAGCATGGACAAAAAGACGACATCTTTGGGCCAGTACGAAAATATATTAAAGCGTTAAACACTAGAGAATGAGAAAATTCAAAAAAATTAATTATCGGAAAATCTAACACTTAAAGGGTAATTAAAGAGAAGTACTTCACATAGTCCGTGAAGCGGGTCTGAGTTCTGATCATGGTTGACACGCTGAAGTCTTGATGCCAGGTAGATTGGCGCGTTGGGGCTGGGTAGTGGACGACGGGGTGGCTTGAAGAGTGTGGCCTGAAGTAGCGGCAGGGCAGCCTCGGAGGCCCGCTGACCTGGCCTGTGTTTGTGGACGACGAACTGAAGCCGTGCCGACCACGCCTATCGTTGCGGGTCGGTTTTTTCGTCCACCAGATCCTGCTCGCTTGTCCTGTTCGGTCACCTCCAGGCTTCCTTCTACTTCTTCTTTTTCCACCACCTGCCAGTCGCGCCAAATTTTCTCCGTGCACACAAACACACAGTCAACCAGCCACATCAGCATTCCTTTTCGTCGTCGTCCTCTTTTTTCTTCTACATTGAAGTCCGAAATCACCACAATTACCCCTCACTTAAGAGCGTTGTTTCGGTCAAACAATGTCTACAACATAACAAAAAAAAAAAAAAAAACTTGTCCACAAACTATATTACAGTTTACACATTTGACACTTGGTTCGTTCAAACTTTTGGTTTCTCCCACACACAAACATATGCAAAGTAATTGATTCAACAACCTTGTCATACGCACGTTACACTCATAAGAAAAAAAAACTGTTTTGACTATTGTACACAATGCATCACTACAAAGAATAATAATAAAGTTTAAATTCTTATTTAACAGACATGCGACTCATATAATCGGCGCCCACATTTTCACAGCCCTTGATATATTCGACTGTAAAGTCGTACTCCATGAGCGTCAAGCTCCAACGTAGAACACGGCTGTTGATGTGCTTTGCAGAGTTTATGTACAATAAAGGCTGATGGTCGCTTTGCAGAATGAATGGTTTCCCGTACAAGTACACATGAAATTTTTTAACTGCCCATATCAGTGCCAGGCCTTCTCGCTCTATCGTTGAATAGCCGGCTTCACAAGGTAGCAGTTTACGACTCGCGTAAGCTACAGGATGGAGTATTCCATTATGCCGCTGCATGAGAACCGCCCCCACGCTTGTGGATGACGCATCCGTACTAAGCACGAAAGATTCAGAAAAGTCTGGTGCCCTTAAGATGGGTCGGCTCGACAGTACTTCTTTCAGTTTCTCAAAAGCGTGTTGTTCCTTTCTCCCCCAACTCACTTTGTTCGGGGCCCTTTTTCGTGTCAACTCCGTTAGCGGTTGTGAAATTTCAGAGTATTGCGGAACGAAATCTCTGTAGTAGCCTGTCAGGCCAAGAAACGAGCGGACGCCCTTTTTTGTAACGGGTGGCTCGGCAACTTGAATCTTTTTTAGCGTCTCGATTTGCGGTCGCAGGAGGTTATGTCCAATGATGTGACCGAGGAACGTGACTGATGCAAAGCCGACTTCGCTCTTCGTTGGCCGTATCGTCAAACCAGCATCTCTCACCCGCTGAAAGAATGACTTGAGTGTTTCCAGGTGCTCTTCCCAGTTTTCTGTGGCGATGAGGACGTCGTCAAAATAGTGGTAGATGTTTGGCAGGCCTTGGACCACCTTCCTCATGAGCCGGGTAAACACCGCCGGTCTTGCACCGCCGGCGGTGCAAGACTGCACCGCCGGTGCAGTCTTGATCCCAAAAGGCATAAATCGAAACTGGAAAAGTCCCGAAGCCGTAGGGAAAGCTGTCATTTGCTTTGATCCTTCGTGCATCGGCACCTGCCAATAACCTTTCGAAAAGTCGAACTTTGAGAAGTATCGGCTGCTTCCCAACTTAGCGAACATCATGTCCACCCTTGGGATGGGTTCATTGTCGGGGACGAGGACCTTGTTCAATTGCCTGAAACCAATGCAGAGCCGCATTGATTCATTCTTTTTCTTTACCACCACTATGGGAGATTGGTACGGCGATTCGGAGGGTTCAATTATGCCCCGATGTAACATTTCTTGGACTCCCTCCTGCACCGCTTCTTGGATAGCGAACGGTATCGGGTATTGTTGTACTCGAATAGGAATGTCTGTGGTGGTCTTCAGTTTGCACTCCACCAGGCAGGTCTTTCCTGGGACATCTGTGAAGCTTTCCTTGTGCGCAGCCAAGAGGATAGACACCTGCGCTTGTTGAGAAGCTGTTAGGTCGTTCGAGACTTTCACATCCTGGTGAGTTTCTTTCTTGTGGAGCGTCACCGAAGGTATGTCCTCTTCCTCTACTTCCTCGTGCTGGACCGCGACTGAGGCATGCTGCGGTGGTTGGTTAGAAACCGGTCTCTCTTCGTACTTTTTCAACATGTTAATATGGAATGGATTACTTCTTGTTCCCAGATCAATGACGTAGTCGATGTCATTTCTTCTCTCCAAAACCTTGAAGGGGCCCTTCCAGGTCAGGATCAGCTTGTTGTTCTCGGAGGGGAGAAGAAGTAGAACCTTGTCTCCAACAGCAAGCTGGCGCACTCTCGTCTTCTTGTCGTAGTACTTCTTCTGTACTATCTTCGCCTTTCTGAGCTGCTCCTGTGCTATCCGGCAAGTGTCTTCTAAGCGCTGGCGGAGCTCGACCATGTAGCCGTACGAGGTCTTCGTGTTTTCGTCAAGGTGCTCTCCTGTCCAGATTTCCTTTAATATGGCCATCGGTCCTCGGACGTACCTGCCATACAGGAGATCAAATGGTGCAAACCCAACACTGGCCTACGGCACTTCGCGATACGCGAATAGTAGTGGTGCCAAGTATCGCTCCCATCTTTTCGGGCTCTCTTGACGCATTCGTCGTATCATTTGTTTTAGTGTGCCATTAAACCGTTCCACGAGGCCGGTGGCCATGGGATGATACGGCGTGGTTGGCATCTGCTTAAACGAGAGGAGACGACTAAACGCCTTCATGAGTCCGGATGTGAATGATTTGCCCCCATCGCTGATGATTTCTCTAGGAAATCCCACGCGTGAAAACATCTCGAGGAGAGCTTCCGCAATCCTCTCCGTCTCGATGCTTGGTAGGGCAACTGCATCAGGATAGCGGGTCGCGTAGTCTACCATGGTTAGTACGTAACGGTTGCCCTTCTCTGAGGTTGGTGACAGTGGTCCCACGATGTCTATTGCTACCCGTTGAAAAGGCGTCTCGATCACGGGCATGTTTCCCAAAGGCACGCGGCCTACCAAGTGTTTTGGAACGGTTCTTTGGCAGATGTCGCATGATTTCACAAACCGCGTGACATCCCCTTGTACCCCTGGCCAGTAAAACTCTTCAAGCACTCGATCTGTCGTTCTTTCGATTCCTTGATGTCCAGATAGTATTCCTTCGTGTGCCATTTTTAGAACGAATGTTCGGAGGCCAGTCGGGACAACGAGTTGTTCCATTTCCTTTTGCGATGGAAGTCTGTACCGTCGAAAAAGAATCCCGTTCATCAGCACGAAGTCGATGTCGGCTGATCTTGAGGCAACCTTGCTTCCCACTGCTTCAAAGCATCTCTTGAGTGTAGCATCTTGCTTTTGCTTGGCGCTTAGCTCCGCCGGGTTGATATCCAGTGGATTTATTTCTGCAACTGGTAGCCCAGCAGCTGTCGCCGACGTCCGCATCGTTACGACACTAGCCTGAAGCTCGCCTTTCTGCTCTCCGGAGCTCGGTGACGAGGTCGTCCCTGTCCAAATTTGTTGGTTGCCCAAGATTTCGTCTTTTTCTTGGGGCTTTTCTTGCAGAGGAAGAAATTTCTGGTCTTCTCTCCACTTGACATCAGGAGCAGAAGCATCCCGTACGCCATCGATGTTGCCCAAGACGACATCATACAGCGGTCTTTCCATGCAGGTTGCCCTTACTGTGCCCGTGAAATAAGGAGAGTCGATGTCCACTTCCGCTTCAGGTAGGCATCGAACTGTCCGGTCGAGAAGGTAAATCGATCGACTCCTTCCTGTCAGTTTGGCATCAGGAACCAGAGATCGCTTCACGATGACCGAGTTGCATCCTGAATCACGCAGTACAATGACAGGCTGTCGTTCAAGCAGCCCTTCAGCCGTTGGCATGCCATCTGTTTGAACATCGATTCTTCGTTCATCCTGCTCTGCTTTCACATTTCTTTTAAGGGAATGAATGTCCAAACCAACTTTCCCTGGCTTATTCTGAGGCGCCAGAGAACACGATGCTTGTCCACCCGCGTCTGTCTTGTTAGGGCAAGACTCTGCTTTATGCCCGGTCTTGCGACATTTCCAGCAAACAGTCAACTTTGGGTTGGATCCTCTTGACTTGGACCAACAGTCTGCTGCACGATGACCTTGCTTGTTGCAAAGAAAACAGGCGGGTCTCCCCGTTGCATCTGGAGGCTTAGAACTCCTCGCTTTCCCCAATAGCTTCGCCTCTTGGTCCTTATTTGTTCTGCCAAGATGGACTAGTCCTTGAGCCTCAAGATAATGATCGGCAGCTTCCGCCAACTTGTCAAGTCCTTGGCAGCCTCTTTCCCTTAAAAAGATGGTCAGTTTTTCGTGACATCTCTTGAGAAACTGTTCTGACACTATTTTGTCCCGGAGTGCGTCGTAGGTACGCTCCGTTTTGGCCATTTCTTGCCAGGTCAAAATATCCCAACAGACGACCAGTAAACTGTCTGCCTGTTTCTGCCTCCTCTGGTCTTGCCTCTCTGAACTTGGCGCGGTACCCTTCTTCCGTATACCGAAATCGTTGGAGAAGAGTCTGCTTAAGCACAGTTTAGTTTGTAGCAGCGTCAGCAGCCATGCGTCCGACTACATTTAATGCCTCCCATGTCAAGCATAGACTCAGGGACAAGGCCCATTTATCCTGTGGCCACTCTTGGCACGTTGCCACCCGCTCGAATCGTTGGATGTAGGCGTCAAGCTCGTCGCGTTTCTCATTGAAAACGGGGATAAGCTTGTGTGGGCTCCGGTACCCCTGTACAAAGCCAGCAGGTGTACCCGCACCAGACTCGTTCGGAATTCCTTCTACTGCACTTTCTCGTCGCTCCTGTAAACGTAATTGGAGCTCCAGTACCGCACGTTCTGCTTCTAGGCGCGCACGAGTATGGTCATCCGCGTCTAAGCGAGCCCGAGCAAGGGCTTCTGCTTCTTTAGTAGCCTCGCGTTCTGCTGTACGCTGGTCCCTCTCGCGCACTCGCTCTTCATCCATCCATTGTTTCAAAGCTGCCCCAGACAACCCCAACTCCTGGCCAACCTTCATTAATTTCTCGGTATCCATTCTCAGCCGTCGCACCGATTCGCAAGGTGAAGCTCTTTAGGGTGTCAGTTAAGAGCAAGGTCCTGTCGCGGACGCCAGATATGTAGTGGACCGCGTTCACGCTTGCGTGCGTGTGCGACGCGAAGAGCATGGACAAAGAGACGACATCTTTGGGCCAGTTGGAAAATATATTAAAGCGTTAAACACTAGAGAATGAGAAAATTCAAAAAAATTAATTATCGGAAAATCTAACACTTAAAGGGTAATTAAAGAGGAGTACTCCACATAGTCCGTGAAGCGGGTCTGAGTTCGGATCATGGTTGACACGCCGAAGTCTTGATGCCAGGTAGATTGGCGCGTTGGGGCTGGGTAGTGGACGACGGGGTGGCTTGAAGAGTGTGGCCTGAAGTAGCGGCAGGGCAGCCTCGGAGGCCCGCTGACCAGGCCTATGTTTGTGGACGACGAACTGAAGCCGTGCCGACCACGCCTATCGTTGCGGGTCGGTTTTTTCGTCCACCAGATCCTGCTCGCTTGTCCTGTTCGGTCACCTCCAGGCTTCCTTCTACTTCTTCTTTTTCCACCACCTGCCAGTCGCGCCAAATTTTCTCCGTGCACACAAACACACAGTCAACCAGCCACATCAGCATTCCTTTTCGTCGTCGTCCTCTTTTTTCTTCTACATTGAAGTCCGAAATCACCACACATACACATACAAAGCATCATATTACAGACAAACGGTACAAAAAAAATAATTCGGAATTATGTTTGTGGGAAACTTGTGATGCTGAACCTGGCCTGATATAAATTACGATTTAAAAGGGTGCTTCGGCGTTGTCTTCAGAGTCGCAAATTAGCCTCAACATTTTCCAAACAGACAACACAACAAACATCGCAGAAATGGCAACCTAAATATTGTGCCAACATAATTGTTTTAGCAAAAATATGACTTCACAATTTTCGTCTTCGCCGCGTTTTTTAAAGTGAAAGTTTCTACTGGCAACACTAAAAAAGTGAACTCCGGGGAAGGCAGGGGTTCACCCTTTGAACTGTAGACTTTTTTCCCAACTGATTAATAGCAGTTTCATGATATCAGATTATGATTTGGAAGCTCGCTCCAGCACCCGCGCAGCGACACGAAGCTAATGAGTGGCACAGTACATTTTTAGACTGCCCGCTCGACCTTCAAGCTTGCCTTCCCCTGACGTCACCACACCGATAAACTCAGGCATATTTGAAGGTCATTTTCGGCATAATTTTCGCTTGCCGATATCACAATGACTATCCTGAATTACATGATACTGAATAGCATAGCGGAAAGGGTAAAGGCCGGTGATTTCGAAAATACAGCTACTAGCAGTAGCCCAAGAGATCACCGGAGTGCCCCTTTAAATCATGATGTAAATTGCCATTCTAAATTTACTGCTTTTTATTCTCCACCCTGCTGCATGGGGACTACTTTATAGGAACATTTGAATTGCCATCCAGAATAGATTTTATACTTGACGTAGCGGAGAGATAAAGACCTGATTACCGCTATTTGGTCTGATCGCGTTTGTCTACAGCTGCTCTCTCCCAAGTTTGAGTAAACATTGGTTCTTGCCATCTTTCTGAGTTTAAAAATGCATCTAAATCATAATCTCTAAAATAAACTAGTTTTAATTGACTGCAGTTCTGGCCTACGATTCGCCAACTTTTGGGCGTCTAAAGACTTCTGGGGTTCAGTGGGTCTTAAAGACTAGGGGTTTAAAGGAGCTGTACAACAATTTCAGGTCTTCGCTTAAATTATTGTGGAAGTTGATGCTTTACACTTCTGTAAGTGAACTACAGAAAACAGATTTTGCCTGGATACCCTAGTTTTTATTTAAAAAAAATGAAAAAAATCCAAGTTTTTGCCGCCTCTCAACTTGTACGTCGTCTTTCGGGTCACGTGCGCAGTGACGTTGATGGGGTAGGCCCGGGGTTCCGGAAAAGTTCTCTCTTTAGAGCCATCAGTGAGCAGCGAGAACTCATCCGCGCGTGACCACGTGCTGGCGGGCGCCGCGCGAACGATATGTTGAAAGGAGCCTTTGGCTTCTGGCGGCTGTTCGCGGTAGCAGAGAGAGCTGACGGTTTTGTGGACCTATGATAGATGGCGCCCCTAAAACTTTGTATATTAAAAGTTTTGTCGAGGATACCAAGTTTTTGACGCATATATATAGAGATGTTGGAACGACAAGATTTATAGAAAAGTTACCTATTATCGAGCAGGTATTCGCACAACTTGCTATCTTTCTACAAGATTCCCCATTGACGTCACGCCGCGTGTTTCTCGTGGCCGCCGCTCGCGGCTACAGGTCGGGGAATATTCTAAGTTTTGCCTCGCTATTACGCACCGGAATCGTAACATTTCGATGGAAGGAGGTCTGTTTTCTGACATTCGTGACTAGGTGAACAATATCAAAAGCAGAAGATGCCAATTCTTTCAACGTTAAATTCGTTGCACAGCTCCTTTAAGAAGTTTGAAGGATTTTAAGGGCTGAAGGGCTTTGAAGGGCAGAAGTGCCTGATGAGCTGAAAGGGTTCGAATGCTTGGGAGGCTACCATAACACATCATACTTGATGGATATTTTCAATCGAGAAGGCCCTTTAGTTTTATCAATTTCTGAAAAACTTAAATGGTGCCACGTGACAAGGGAGGGGGAGGTAGAAGAGAGGAAAAAGGGGAGAGTGAGGGGGCACTGTTCGACGGTCTGGCGAGGGATTGGAAGATGAAGGGAGAGAAGGGGAGGTGAAGGAAGTGAAGCAGATGAATTGGTGTGTCAATTGACAGGAAGGGGGAAGGATGGGACACCACTGTAGAAGAGCGGTGCAGAAATGGCAAGACAGAGGGAGGAGGAAGAAGGAGGGCGAAGAAAGGAAGGGGGAGTAATTTAGAGGTAGGTGGGAAAAGAGAGAGGAGAGAAGGAAAGGGAGGTTGGAGAGGACGCCTATAGAGGGAGAGGGATTGAAAAGGAAAGGAAGCAGAAGGGAGAAGAGGGATGGAAAGCTCTTGCCTCATGTGTTACTTCGTCTGCGTCCACATGTTTCCGCGCTGTTTCCACGGTGAATTCCCACTAACTCGGACAATAATTTGTTCTTCCATGTGGCGCAAATTACCTCGCTAAATTTCGTGGGTAACGTTTTTTTTTTTTTCCAGTTTGTCGTCTATATTGAACGGGGACACTGAATGTGTGTATAGGTCACGTGACGTCAATATACCAATTTAGATTCCCCGCTAACTCTAGCGGCCAATCTGAATTGGTGCATAGGTCGTAAGACTTGCATTTTTTTAATAAATATAGCGGGGAGACTGAATTCACGTGTAGACAGAGTTGTAGGTTACGAGTAACAAGTAACTGAATATGTGCCATCAGTTACACTTCATTGTAACTTTTTAGCGCTTCAACTACTTTTGTTCTGCGGTAATGTTTGCTGTAACGCAAATATTATTATTTGTTATCATTTACAGGTTGAAAATATAAGTTTCCACAAAATGCTCATTTTACTGAGTTGCATTTTTTTTCATAAAGAAATCACACTGTCTGCCCGTGCGTCACTCGTCTATGCTGCACCAACATTGGACAATTTTGTGACCCCTAAAAACTAAGATACCACAAAAAATAGAATTCAAACTTGCTCAGCGGCGTTTTGACTGTTGAGAGTGCCTCGTTCCCTAGGGGACTCGGAAGCGTCCGTGGAAGCACTGCGCAACCGCGAACTGGTACGCCAAGTTTTTGTGCGCTACAACACCGCTCCTCCCTCAAGCGCATCCGTCGTGAGGGCCTCCGGCGTCGAGGCAGGTATCTTCATCAGGAAACGTGGAAAGATGACTAAAAAGAACTTCGAACGACAACTGCTGTGGAAGCTTAACAACGTGTCAATGACAAAAGGAAACAAAATGTCACCGCTATGGACAAATGTATGCATTTTCGAATTTCTAATCAAAAGTTTAGAAAGTAATAAATTACTTTCTGGTAGTTTCTCAATTACTTTTCTGATCCAGTAATTGACTACTGTAAACAGTTACATTTTTCAATAAAGTAATGGCAATTGTAATCGGAATCTTTCTCAGTAACGAGTAGAAAACTGCGCGAATGTTAGGTGACATCAATTTCTCCTCTTGCTGTATATGTCCCGTGACGTTTCGTCGCGTGACGTCAGCGTACCCGGCATATTTAGCGAGAGAATCGCAGGCGGATGGACAAACTTTTAGGATCGGGATTTGCATTAAAAAGCACTTCATGCCTGAAAAACTACTCACAGGAAAGCAGTATTTGCACAAAGGGGTGTCTTGCGATAGTTCGGACTCAAATTTCTGTAGGTATTAAAGGCCCTAGTCATTGAAGCTGTAGAC